AAAAATTTAATAAATAATTCAAAAATATATATTCAAAAATTTAAATAGTAAAAAAAAAAATTATATTTATTTAATTTTGGTTATATATATTTATTTGTCTTTTTTTATATATTTTAACAACCTATATTATATACTTTTATATAATTTCTAATTAAAACTAAACCACCAAAAATCAAATTCTATGTTAAACACATCTTTAACTAAATACTAATCCCTAACTCAGTCTTATCATTAGCCAATTCCAATTCTAAATCGTTTACTAATCATTGAAATCAAAATAGTATAGTAAATTAAGGGAGTACCTATTTTTACCATAGAAATTTACAATTTCTATCATGTTTTTCACATGACTTTAGCTATATATACATAATGAATATTATTATGATAAATTACAACATTAGTGGAAATAGTAAATTTCTATGGTGGAAATAGGTATTCCCTAAATTAAGTTCACAAATCAAAAACAATATAAATCCTAATTTACCATTGCATAAAACCCTTCAATCAAAATTAGCCCTTACCTTACAATGCACCCATCTCATATCGGCCGATTTTTGGAATTTATAAGTAGTGCTTATTTTTTAAAAACTTCAAAGCTAAATAGTTTTTGATCTACTGGTCTGTTTTAAATAATTTTATTACCAAAATGTTCATCTCTTTGAGACGATTTCAACAAGCCCAAAATTATCAAAATCCAACCACATAATAGCAAGATAATGTGCTATTAAATAGTGACATACTTAGAGAGTGAGGTTGATTGGTTAGACCTAGTCTAACTAATCAACCCCATCTTATAGGTGTGTCACTATTTGATGGCGCAGCCTCTCAATATCCTGTAATTGGATTTTGATGATTTTGGGCTCATTGGAATCATCTCAAAGAAATAAACATTTTGATAATAAAATTATTTAAAATAAACCAGTAGATCAAAAACTATTTAGCTTTGAAGTTTTTAAAAAATAAGCTTTACTCATAAATTCCAAAAATCGGCCCATATGTTTTTGTAAATTGTCGTAAATTTTTATTAATTTATAGTCACACCTCGATATAGTTACTCTTGATATAGTCACAAACTCAATATAATCACATTTTTTTATTTACTAATTAAATTTATATTGATTTACTCTTTATATAGTTACAATTGCTATATAGTCACTATTACACTTTTTTAAAAACCAAAGTAATAAAAACATATTAAATTTATCTTGATAAAGTCATAGGAAAATATATACAATATACTGTATAAGGCTATGCAAACAAATAAAGTTGGTTCTTGTTACCTAGCCAGATAACTTTTTTAGTAAAGTTAAATTTTTTTTTTTATATAAAATTTTTTATTTTTGTATGAAAAAAAATTTTATAAATTTTTTTTTTATATGAAAAAATTCGTAAATATAATATTTTTTGCTAGCCGGCCGGGTCCTATTTGCTTATTGCATATAACAAGAACCAACTAATTTAATTTGTATAGCCTAACCATAATTTTGTATTTTACAATCAAATATGTAGAATTAATATCTAAATCTAAATTTTTCAGATTTAATTACTATATAAGAATATAATTAAATAATGATCATAATATCAATACAATATTTTAAAAAACATTTTGTTTATAGTAATTCTATAGTTGCTACTTCATACTAAAAGTAGTATAGATAATATGAGAATGTTTTAAAGAATTATAATCTTTATTATTTATTAAATGTGAAGCGAAAAATAAAACAGCAGTATCCATTATAGTTTATTAAAAATTAAATATAAGTCATATCTATTATGTTCATATCAAGGTGTCGATTATTTGTTTTAAAACTTCAAATTTTGGTAGTATGTTACCAAAATAGTAAATTATCAGTAAGCTATCTATAAAGTAACTTGTATTTTATTTAGCCAATTGTCTAATCACGAAATTTTCCAATGATGGCATAAGCAATTTGTAATTTAGTACAAGAATTCATGATAGTTTACTGGTAATTTACCAAGCCTACTGTGGTAAATTACTTACTAACCACCTACACAATGATATTGGAATACCAAGATTGCAGCATTGCAACATTATACAGTAGTATTCCACAATGCTATATTATATCATTGTAGCAATGCTAAACTCATAATAGCTTACTAGTAATTTACCAAACTTACTATAGTAAATTACTACTAGCATAATAGTTCTGGAATACCAAGATTGCTACATTATGATCATCGTGGCAAGGCTATATTATGCTCTCTATATTTATGAAAATAATATATATATTACAAGTTGAATCAATGAATATTGGGTTCAAGTACATACCGGGAGAAAAGTTTCCTGATATATACCTGTTAGTCTGCCATAGATTTGCCAAATAACTGCTGAGTATCAGCAGTATATTGGTAAGATATCGGGAAGTAGATCTATATCAGTAATATAACAGCACAATATTGGGATACTCCGATATCTTACTCTTAGCATTTTAAACCTAAAAATAAGATATCAGGGATCCCAATATTTTGCTATTATGTTACTGATATTAATTTACCTCTCGATATTTTACCAATATGCTGCCAATATGCTGCTAATATTCAGCAGTTATTTGGCAGATCTATGGCAGACTAACGGATATATATCAGGAAAGTTTTCTCCTGGTATATACTCAAACCCGATATTTATTGATTTAATCTATGTATTATAAAGGCAGTTGTATTTTAAGTCGATTCAATGAAAATTGTAGAGAAATAATTATTTATGAAAAGCAAAAACTTGTAATAGGCTAAAGCATATGAATGTAAGTAAAGTTAGTATTTTTGAAATAGTAAAAGAAAATAATAAGATCGAATAAAAAAATAAATAATTTCCATTGCATAGCCCAAAATCGATTATAAAAGGAATTATTTAGTGTTGGATATGAAATTAAATTAGATGAAATCTTTTAAGATATTAGATAAATCTAAAAATATAAAAAGAAGTATTTTAAGATTAATAAAATATCAAAAGGTTGTGCAAAGCCTTAAAATTATTGCTCATTATGCTTTCAATTTCCATACCTAAAAAAACATGCAGTCAATTAAACAATGCCCAGTGTAAAGAAATTTGTAAATATTCTAATAAAAATCTGTTAGCAAAACAACAAGATATTGCTAATGAATTTACACAAAGATACTCCAAATTAAATCTTGATCGCTTAACCATATCTAAAATTTTTTTAAAAAAAAGAGCAATATTTGAATCTTGAAGAAAGTGTTAATACACAAAACAGATATAAAAATAGAGAACCAAAATATCCTTTACTTGAAAAAGTGATGAATATTTGGGTTAGTCAAATATCAGCTACTGGTATGCCTTATAAAAATTTTTTGTTAGCTTGTTTTTGTTTAATAAAATGTACAGAATGAGGTTGATTTTCCAAATATTGTCAACCAAAAAATTGTTTTTTATATCACGTATAAAATTGTACAATAACGTATAGAGTTTTGGAAAATCAACTCAGTTCCGAATATTTTTTTAAACAATACCTACAATAACTAAACAACCTTTTTTTATAGAGCTAATTTTTATAGATGAATTGATAAAATTGAAAAGTCGTAAGTTTGGTAAACTCCTCAGCATTTTTGGAGATGAATTAAAGTTCTCAATAGATAGATAACTAATTATAAGAAACGAAATTCTTTGCGTCAATACAAACTTCATGGTGAAGCCATGGTGCACCTTTGGAATCCATACCAAATGAAAGAATAAAACTCCAAAGACTTATTTTCCAATATAACTTGAAAGATATATATAATGCCAACAAAACTAGATTGTTTTATAGAATGCTACCAAACCAAACACTAGCTAAACAACCTGTTTCTGGCTCAAAACAAGTAAAAAAGTTTCTATTTAGTATAATTAAATTTCAAAATTTTGAAAATTTTAAATTTAAAATTTCATTAATTTACTTTGCATAATTACGACAATAAGGATAAATTGCGTATTATAGTATTACTTGCTACAAATACAACAGGTATTTATAAACTTCAGTCACTAGTCATTGGCTATTTGAAAAAACCGCGAAGTTTCAATAGTATAAATTTATCACAACTCCCAGTTACATATAATAATAACAAATGGATATGAATAATGTCAGAAGTATAAAAAAATGGTTATGCTTTGTCGATTCTGGATTTTACATCCAGAACAAAAAAATTTTACTTCTTGTAGATAATGCACCATCTTATAGTTCACTAGAGGTATCTAATAATAATAATAAAACACCTAACATTAATAATGAAATAAACTCTGATGATAATGTTGAAAATAATGAAAATAATGGACAACCAAGTAGAAAAGGAAGATCAGTTGGAAAGCCATGGGGGAGTATACGAAGAAGACTACAGGGAAGTATATGAGGAAGTACACGAGGAAGTACACAAAAAAAACTATGGGGAAGGCAAAAAACTACTAACACTACTTCTCATCAGTGAAAAATAAGAGAACTTTTAGAGGTATTAAAACTTACAAATATTACTCTTCATTACTTCTCACCTTATACGACAGTATATCTTCAGCCTATGGATGCTAGTGTAATCATGTCATTCAAATCAAAGTATAAATGACTATATTGCGAGCATGTTCTTAAACAATATAAAACCAATGCTGATATAAAAAAGTTTGTATAATTATTGTCATGGCTAAAGTTAAAACTTGAGGTTTTTTTTTCTTAAAAATATAGGCTCACTAAAACCTCTTTCTAATTTTCAATTCTAAAAAAAAACAAAAACAAAAAAATTTGTTAAAATAAAACCAATTCTCAGCTTTAGCTATAATAATTATCATGCACTTTGTAAACCGCATCTTATAGTTCATCTTTAATTATACCCAAGTACTTAAGTATAATTTGCTTTTTTTGCTTTTTTCTTATAGAAAAAAGCTACCTGTAAAAAAGGCAATCGATTTTATTGCGAAATCGTGGAACCAAGTAAGCAATACAACCATTCAGAACTGTTGGCACAAGACTGGAATTCTTTTGTATACAAATGAGTTAGAAATGGATAGTGTAGACCAGCATGTTAAAAATGATATCATGTTAGATAATGAAAAAATTAAAACTATAATTATTAATTTACTGGATAAGAGTTTATATATAGCTGAGACTGCTCAGGCTATATTAACACATATACAAGCTATTGAACCTATTGCTACGGAAGAAATACTTGATGATGAGGGGATAATTTCTATAATTCAAGCTAAGAAAAATAATATATCAACTAGGTAAACAATTGAGGAAAATGACAAAGACAAGGCACCTGAACTATCAGTAACAGTTGCTGAAGTATATAGTGCAATACAAACTATTGTTCACTATGAAGAGCAGGAAAATTCAGAAACAAATCTGTTATTAAAAGAATTAGAGTTTTTAAAAAAACTATTCAAAAAGTATAAACATATAAATGAAAAGTCAAAAAAGCAATTAAAGATTACTAGTTTTTTTACTTTCTAGGATTTATACTCCAATAACTTATATTTCTAAAATTTATATCCTTAAAGTCTATATTCTCAAGACTCATATTATCAAGATTTATATCCTCGAGATATATACTCCCAAGATTTGTATCCTCAAGATTCATATTCCTATAACTCATATTCTCCAGACTTATCTTCTCAAGATTTATCTTCTCAAGACTTATCTTTTCAAGACTTGCAAAGTTTATATCCACAAGATTCTTATTTCCTAATTTAATTTTTTTTTTATTTCTAAGAGTTACATTTTTAGTTAATGTTTTAAATGTAAACCTTTTTTCATATAATACATATTAATTATCTTAAAGCTTGTATAAGCATCAGCAAAAAAAATATACATAAACCTCTGTAAGTTTTTACGCAAGTATAAACTTATGAAAAACTTATGATTAGTTCAGAATATTACGTAGGGGTAATAATTATGAAAGTTTATGCTATAGAATTTCGGAGTATTACATAGGAGTAATAATTATGAACATTTACAACTTAGTAAATTTAAATATAGCAAAATGCAAATAGTCAAAAACTAGCAAGTATATGCATAAAATTATAAATATTTACGAACAACAAAAATTAAAAACATACGAAAACATGTGAAAATTTGCATAAATTTGCATAAATCAATAAGATATTACATACAACAAAATATCGAAAAGAAGCAAAAATATAAATTATAAATTGAAAAAATAAATAATATAAAAATTTCAAAATAAATGTACAGTATACCCTGTCAAAACTGATGTGCATGGTGGATAGCTTTTGTATCAGCTTTAAGAGGTTATCAGATTTAAAATACTAATAGCCTAGTGGTCACATGATAATAGCTAAATATAATTGGCCAAATTATATTTATATATATATTTTTGGTTATATAAAATCAGATTTGAGCCAATTAAATCAATTAATTTTACTTTACAAACCCGATATCTTATAGATATCTGATGATTGTGTATCGGTTATCAGAAATAGCAGGTTATTGGATTTGAATTATGGAACCGATATGGTGGATCAACTTTTTATCAGTTGTGAAAGGTTATCAGTTTTGACAGGATCGGTTTTGACAGGGTATACTGTAATAATTTTAATGTTTTTGTAATATATGAAAAAATTGTAATAGTTTAGTAGTTCCTATATTTATTTGAAAAATTGTATACAAATATATTCTAAGTAATTATATAT